AATACTACTACTACTAATAGTAATAATAAGAAGAATATACAAAGCAAGTGATGCACAGTACAATTGCTCACCACCCGCCGACCGATGCCCAGCCAGTCCCCGAGCAGCGGCCCCCCCCGGCCAGCTTTCCCCAGTTTATGTACTGAGCATGACGTCCCATGGTATGGAATGTCCCTTTGGCCAGTTTGGCTGTGCCCCCTCCCAGCTTCTTGTGCACCTCCAGCCTTCTCAGTCGGTAGAGCATGGGAAGCTGAAAAGTCCTTGGCTAGTGTAAGCATTACCTAGCAACAACTAAAACATCGGTGCGTTATCAACTTTGTTCTCATCCTAAATCCAAAACACAGCACTGTACCAGCTACTAGGAAGAAAATTAACTCTATCCCAGCCGAAACCAGGACAGTATTATATACTATCTAAATTTTTAAGTTGAGAAATTTCTTGATGCATTTGCTTTGGGTCTCAGAGGCAGAATGGGGTGAAAAACTGATTTTCCAGTTCACCAAGATAACCACCTGTCCATGTATTGTCACCAATATTGTGCTTTGCAAAGTCTTGGGCTCTTGGAGCCAGGTGATTATGCAAGAATTTCAGCTTTTAAGAGCTTCCAGATTCCTCTGTGTTATGTTATTTATGGCATTTATAGGTGCTTTGGAGCCTGGTCGTACTTTCAGTTCCCCTCTGCCTTGATGCAACTCAACCACTTCCACCCCAGAGCTGGCCCCTGCTCTCCAGCCAGCTCCATGCCTTCCTGTCCCAGCAGCACGCACAGCAGGATGGCATTGCCGAGGCGAAGAGGAGAGATTGCTTTCCCAGCGGCAGCTCTCTCCCCACATCATTTCAGCATTTATTCCCAAGCGTGCTCCTTGCCATCTTGAAAGGAGACTGCAGGGGTGAAAAAGACATTTCCACGGCAAACACATTTCAAGAGGAAAAACACCACTGCCCCAAACACAGCTCTGTCTGAATCCTGAGGACACTGATAAACAGCTGCTGGCCCATAAGAATTCAAAGTATTTATCTAGATGAGCAGAAACGCAGTCTCTTAATGTCGCTCATGCAGGTGACTTTGCTGGAAAGGGCTAGACCTGAAAATCAGGACGCCAGGGTTTCAAGCCCAGCTTTCTCACTGTGTGATCTCGTACATAGCTTTTTTCTAAGTGGCCCTTTGCTTTCCCTGATACACGTTATCCCCATGTGATGATTTAATGATGATTTCAATGCAAATTATTAAGGATGCTGACATTTCTATTGCAGACCAGCCCCAAAGCGTTTGCATCCACTTATACACCTTAGAGACTGTCAAGTAATTTCTAAGCAGAGAGGAGAGCAATGCTGTTATTAAACATTAACACTATTCAGCATTTAAATAGCATCATCCCTGTTTACAGGCTCACAGGTTACAAAGTCACTGTGACCACCCAGCTCAGCGCAGCAGCCACCAAGGGCTGGAGGACAGCTTCAGGACTGGCTTCTCAAGCCAAAGCTCTGGGACATGGAGATATCCCCAAAGCCAAACTCAGTCTCACTGGGGGCGGGGGGGGGGAACGTTGCTCCAAAGCTGGGTCAGGTTACTAGGGGAAGCAAAACCCTCGTTGCTCCAGGGCAGGAGAAGTTGGAAATACCATCAGCCTCAGGCCAGCAGAGTAATCCCTCGCCTTTAAAGAGAGCGCAAGCAGATGGTGGGTTAGATAAGAGAAATCCTTGAAAGCCTCTGAAACACCTGTACAGAGACATCACATTGTGCTAGAAAGTGGTGAGGCTTTGTGCTAATCCCACCACTTTCCCTACCACCTCGGCAAGAAGCAGCCCCAGGAACTGAGGGTGAGGAGGGGAAAGTTTGCTACTTCTTGCTCTACTTTTAATTCCCAGTGCATATTATTTTTTTCCCCATCAATGGCTTGCTGCAAACTCCCAAAGCTGAGCCAGCAAGAAACACCCTTTCTCTTAAAAACAAACTAAACCAAACTTTCTCCTCCGGCCATCTAATCCCAACTAATCACAGATTCCAGTGGAAGGAGTTGTCTCCTGTTACTATTATTATTCCAGCTTGTGTTATTGTGCCAGTTTTAAGGTCCTTGGTTGAGATACAGAGCCAGGTGAGGGGGGAAAAAACCCAAAAAACAGGCTGGTCTGGGTCTCAGCAGCATTTATCATCTGAATTTGGCCACCTGCAATACCATCTGCCAGGCTTTGAGGTCCAACACGGAGTTGAACTCATCAGAAATCTGGGCTGCTGTGGAAATGACAAATTAACAGCAGCCCCATGTGGGCTCAGAAAATGAAATCGTCAAACTGGGGACAACAGGGACTGACACACGTATTCAGTTAATAACACACACGCCTCCGTGGGTGAGGCAGAGCCTTGGGAGGGCCCTGGGCGAGGATGAGGCACCAGCTGCTTTCCTCCCACCTAGGCACCCTGCACCCCAACACAGTGGTCGGCTCGATGTCCCTTCAGCACATCATCCCCAAGCCATGTGGCCCCATGATTGAGTGGTAGATGTGGGTGATTTTTGGTTGTGTTGTTTGTCTGCCTATGCCAGCGAGGAAGAGGAAAAGGAGGAGGGAGACGGCTAAACCTGTCCTCCTTGCAAAAAGCCTCCTCATCTTCTTTCCTCCAAAAGCCTAGCGGTGAAACAAGGCGTGCGTGACCCCACCGCGTAGGTGTCCATCTGCCAGCAGAGACCTGTGTAATGTAATGCCTTCTCAACATCTTGCCCAATTCAATTAAATTTGACACATCAAAGGCACTTTCAGTTCATACAAGCTCCTTGGAGAGCATGCAGCTGGGAAGAGGAAAAGGAGCCTTCCCAATGCCTGCTCAACATGGTTAGACATCAGAGAAGCCAAGCGGGAATGCCCCCATGAGGAAAGTCTAGCAAACAACCTTGGGAAAATAGGTTTTTGCATGGCATGTTGTTAGAGAAACATCTTGTTTCTCTCCAGAAGTTTTCCCCATCATTTCCAGCCTTATTTGATTATATCTCCTAGTCAGCCGGAGGATTTTGCTAGGAGGTTGTTATCCACAGTTGGGAACCTGGGAGAGCATCTTTTGGCTCAACCCTGCTTTTTAGCTAAAGCGAGGCATTTGGCAGAGGAGCCGCCAGCAAAACGCAGCCACCTCCAAGGGAGATCTGTGGCGGGTGCGTTACGAAAGGGTTTGGAGGATGGGAACAAGGCGCATTGTATCCAGCTGGAGCCACAGGCAGGGCTGAAGGGAAGTGGCAAGCAATTATTCCAGCTGGAATCTGGCCAGGATGTCTTGAAATACCAGCTTGCAAAACTTTCACCAAAACACGCCAACGGACCAGGTGTTTCTAGGATAACAGATCTGGTCTTTAACTCTGCAATCTTCCCCAGGATCAGCAGAACCAGGAGGAAACCATTATCAGGAATTAATGTTGTAACGGATCCTCAGTCCCTCGAGACTCTCCGGGTCTGTTTGCTGAGCTCAGGACTTTGGGTACGTCTGGAGGAGAAAGGCTCATTTATTTTCAGTTCTGAAGGAAGAAGTCCCCTCTTCTTGCTCTGAAGAGGAATCCCCCCTAGCTTTTGACCCCACAGGATGTGTGCAGGTCTGACTGCATCCAGCAGAAGGCAGCAGTGAATGCAACTCTTTAGCACTTTTTAAATTTAAAGAGGGATTTAAATGATTTTACCAATCTCCTGCATGTAGAGCTTTGCTTACCACATGCTGGAGTGCAACTGCTTCTGCAGAGGTGCGTGGCAGCCATGTATAAGCCCAGCCTGGGCTCGCTGCGTTAGGCAAGGAGAGATGGCATCGCTTCACAAAGGCAAGATGCAATCAACCAAGCAAGGAGGGCAGATCTAGCACCCAAACCCATTTAAAAAAAAAAAAGTAATCCTTGCACAAGGCTGTAAGGACTCTGAGGGAACCAAGAATTCATTAAGTGTCACTGGAGCCTTTTTCCACCCCAAAAACCTCACTCCCCAACAGCTCTGTGTTGCACAGGACTGAGATCCTCCCTCCTCTGCTCCCTGCCAGCCAAGGACTTGCAGCTGGACAGATTTAGGATGGAGGGCAGCACTACGGGAATGTGAAAGGAGACATGTAAACGTGGCCTGTGTCCATGCAAAGCCTGTGGCTTTATGCTGGCATTCCCAAGAGCAAAATCATTGACCTCATTGAGCAATAGCTTGAAAGGCAAAAAGAAAAGGGCCCGAGATGACAGGATTAGGATACACCCTCCCTGGCTACAGGCAGTGAGCACCCCCCGACTGCCAACCCACACCCGATGCTCTGTAAGGAGCAGCAAAGCAGAAAGGCAGCAAAGAGGTCCACAGTCGGGCTCTACAGCGATCAGCCCTCTTTATCCGAGCTACGCCATCCCATTCAGCCTCTATCCAGGCACCTCAAGGAAGCCCTGGCTTGTCTACGGCTCCCTGGCTAGGCAAAGCATCCCCCAAACCCTGCCCTGCTCCCAGGACAATTGCAAGCCACTTGTTTCCTAGAGTTGAGCTGTCTTGACAGCCTGGGAGCAGCTCCAGGTGCTTAACTTTGCTTTACGTTTCAACATCCCGTGTAAATTGAATGCACTGGGAGCCCTGCCCCAGGAGAGCTCCTCCAGCCCGACACCAGCAACAAGACTTTTCAAACAAGAATATGGTCCTCTCCAGTCTGCCAGCACACGGAGGAAGGGAATATTAACTACACCTCTCCCAACAAAACACCCAGAACCTGGCGAGAGGTAGTAAAAGGGAAAAGCAGAGGAGGGAGCACGGCATCGTTATGCAACCGCATTATCTAATGACCACAGAGACACCCTATAGGGGCTCTTTGTTTGCAGAGGGAAGGAGAAAGAAATGCCACCAATATCTGAGTCACTGGTTCACCAAGAGGCTCCGAAGTTATTTTCAGATGGAAACTTTTCCAGTTTCACATGATAATTTGGGAGGACTGGCTAATTCCCTGGCTCCACCCACTGCCTTGTAACACAGCTCCCTGCTGCTCTTGCATATATAGATAGGTATGGCCCTACAACTGGGTGCAGACAGAAAAGCCTGGAGACAGAAGAAACCTAAACTTTCTTCCTTCCTAGCTGCCCTCCAACTGCTCCCACCATGAAGAAGGAAATATTAACCCTGGCCTTTGCTCGATCTGTCTTTGTCGAGTTTATCTCCACGCTCATCTTCGTCTTCATCGGCCTCGGCTCAGCCCTGAAGTGGCCGTCCGCCCTCCCCAGCATCCTTCAGATTTCGCTGGCATTCGGCCTGGCCATCGGTACACTGGTGCAGGCGTTTGGCCACATCAGTGGTGCCCACATCAACCCAGCGGTGACCATCGCCTTCTTTGTCGGGAACCAGATCTCCTTCCTCCGAACGCTCTTCTATGTGATCGCCCAACTGGTTGGGGCCATCGCCGGGGCTGGCATCCTCTATGGTGTGACGCCAGTCAATACTCGTGGCAACCTGGCCATCAACTCGGTAAGTCTCCCTACCTGGAGATGGTTCACCTTGCCGTGCGGGCTTTCCTTTCCTTGTGAGCGAGCAGCTGGTACCAGTGCCAACCCGGAGAGCCAAATCCGTAAGGATGGTTGGTCTTGGCACATTGTCCCACATGCACAGAGGGACAGGAATGGGACAGGAGCAAACACCGGCGTAGCCAGCAGAGTATTGACATGACAGCTTTATTGTGCGGGGTAATGAATGGCATGGTTTTTTACTCCTTTAATAAGTGCTTCCTTTATCCTGAGGGCCCGAGTGAGTCACCCGCACCATTGAGATGTTCTTGACTGCAGCCTCTCCACCTGGAGATTAATGCTGGGATAGGAGCCATGCCAGGACGGAGAGGGGGAGGGCAGGGAGCAGAGCCCAGTCAAACCAGTACGGGCAGGGGGAGCAGAAGCCCACTGTAACCAGTGTGCTGGGGGAGCTAGGAATTGGAGGTGGATGGAGAGAGGTGGTGGAGAAGAGCTGAAGAAGGAGAAATGCGCAGGAGGGCACAGAGAGGCTGCGGGGGGCAGGGGTTGCTTTTGGAGGAGGAGGAGAGATGGTGGGACCCTCCGAGATAAGCGGGAATGAGGAGCATGTCTCAAACCCCTGGGGCAGTGCTGGGAAACCACCTGAAATGGGAGCAGTGCAGCTACCGCTCCAGCCATGGCCAGGTCTGGACGCCTCGGAGCAGCACAGACACGTTGCAGAGGGTTCGATCACTAGGGTGAGGTGCTGCAGTACATCTTATTCCCACATGCTCCATGTTCTAAACCAGTCAGCTTTAGCTAAAAAACAAGCTGCGACGGCTTGGGTCACTTTGCCCTTCCCATGCCCAGTGGGGTCGAGTCCATCTGACAGTCCCCAGTGGTTAGCGCAGAGGCACTGGGACAGCAACAGCCTGTCTTACCCCCCATGACTGCACCCCAACCTTTATCCCAACCCTCACCCTTCATCCCATGCTCCTCCACGGTGGCTGCCAGCTGCTCCCCAGCCTCTTGGGGATGTGCTCCACAAAGTGGAGGGGAGAAGAGTCAGGATACGACAGCTTGCAAGGATCAAGGGGGAAAGAAATGCAGGAAAAAAGGGACAAAACAGTGTGGGATTTGGTGGTAAAGCACTGAGTGTTGCGGAGACAAGCAGAGAAAGATGTGGAAAGCCCTGGGAAGGGAGGGGCTCGGAGGAGAGACAGATTTTTGAGCATTAAACAGAAAGATAATTTCTTCCTTTTCAGGGAAAGGAGCAGTGAGCCCCAGCAGTGGCCAGCATGGCACCTTGTGCCCAAGGGCTGGATAGGGGACCTAGGGGCATTCTCGTGCATGGCTTTGCCAACCCAAATCCACCAGCAAAGCACCTAAGAGCCCTCCCAGGGATGGTTAATTATTGTCACTTTCGATGGTTCGCAGCTCAACAACAACACGACCCCGGGCCAGGCCCTCGTGGTGGAGATCATCCTCACCTTCCAGCTGGCTGCATGCATCTTTGCATCCACGGACAACCGGAGGAACAGCAACGTGGGCTCCCCAGCACTGTCCATCGGCCTCTCCGTTGCCGTAGGCCACTTGGTGGGGGTGAGTGTCCAGGCAGGAGGACAGGGCAGAGGGTCCCACTAGGACAGGGCTCCCCAAAATACTCTTGTGCAGTTGGTCCCAGACAGAGCTGCACTGGGAGAGCCAACATGGGACATATGGGGGCTTCTTCTCTGTGATGATGGTGGGTCCCCACCTCTCTGCAAAAGAAACAGCGGTGGGGGCGGTTTCAGTCCCTGCTTCTGAAAAGTTGGTTGTATCTCCTAAGCAACATGATGCATCTTAACCTGGTCTCCTTTCTGCACTGACAGATCTACTTCACTGGCTGCTCCATGAATCCAGCCCGGTCCTTTGGGCCCGCAGTCATTGTGAGGAGGTTCAGCCCAGCACATTGGGTGAGCATTGGCAGCATGCTGGGACAGGCTGGCCAAGAGGGCCAGATACAGGCAATGAGGGGAGAGGGCAGTGATTGCTGCAGAGATTACAGGGCTGGGTGTTTCAGAGCCCATCCCAGGCCTGAAAGGATAAAAAGGGGCTGGAGAACAAGGGAGGTTGTCCCCCTTGATGCATGTGGAACAGGTTATCCCCATGGCACAGACCCAGCAAGGAGACAAGCATAAACGCCCCATGCAATGGCGCACACTGAGCTAGGGCATCATCTGAGGTCAATGAAGCCCACAGAGAAGCCCAGCTTAGGCTTTCCACTTGCCCGGCACTGCCTGAAAGCTCAGACCCAGCCTTGCAGAGCAAGCTTGGTGCCTCCTTTCCAGCACACCACATCTCTGCACTCATAAAGAGCTTTATGACTTCAGCAAGCAAAGGCTGAGGTGATTTCAGCCCAAGAAGTCTACTGGAAGGGGTATTTGCATCTCTCCATGAGCTAGGAGATGTGGAGCATCGAGGGATGCTGGTGTGACGGTTGGACCTGGTGCACCAGACTCCAAGACCTGCTCTCACCCTCTCCCTTGTTGCTTTCTAGGTGTTCTGGGTTGGACCCATCCTCGGGGCTTGCTTGGCTGCTCTGCTTTACTTCTACATCCTCGTCCCCTACTGCATGAACATGTCAGATAGGGTTGCCATCGTCAAGGGCACCTACGAGTCAGAGGAGGAGTGGGAAGAGCAGAGAGAGGAGAGGAAGAAGTCCATGGAGTTGACCCCACCATAGGAACAGTTGGAAAAAAAAAACAACAAGTAAATGTATGGGAGAAAGCCCCTCACCCGGGCTCATGTGTGCACCAAAGTCAGGCAATGAACACATCCAGCTACAGTAGACTCTTAAGCAAAAGTCTTATAACTCAAAAACTATCTGTGACTAAGAAAGAAAGGAGTATTGCAGTGTCTGTGTATATAATCCCTCTACGTGAGTGTGAGCACTAGAACCTCTCTTAGCTTAACTGCAGCCAGCTAAGCCCAGTGAAGGAGTCTCAGCCCAGGGCAGCCTCTCAGCTGTGGTTTTACACCCACTCAGCTGCATCCCTGCCCTTCTAGGTGCGAGTTTTGCACAATTTTCAGAGGCCTGAGACCGCACGTTCTGGTGCGCACAGAATTTCACCCCTGCCTCTGATGGCCCAGGGGATGGAAACACTATGTAGATACCAGCAAAGAAGGATGACCGCTTTGGGCAGGTGGGTGCAGCAAAATCCCCCCCGCTTTTTCCCCTGCCACAGGGCCCACGCTGCTCATAGATGCTCTTTCATGCATTAGCTAGTGAGTCCTATTTATTCATGGCTGCAGAAAGAACATGATTTTTGGATTTTGTGTTGAGATCTTTGTAATATAGTATATTATTTATTGTGAATAAAGGAAATTTTAAAAAACTCATGGGTGCAAATCTGCTCGGGTATCAAATTTTAAGAGCAAAAATTGGTTAAGCTGGATGCAAAGCCATACCAAAGAGCCAGGGCAATAGCAAGTGCTTGGATCCCAAATCCCGTGGCAGCTGACACCACGAGCAGGTGGTTTGGGAAGTGATAGTCATTAATCCCAAGAAGGAGAAACAGGCACTAGTGTTAGAGTGGGGCAAGAGCAGGAGATGCCTCACGACAGGGTACCAGGTCCAGGGCAGTTTGAAGCCCATCTCCGAGGTTGGCATGAGCTGGGAGGAGCCAGCAGCAATCCTTCACGCACTTTGCCGGTTTGACTCAGGCACGGCTTTCTGCTATACCAGTTCTCCCAGACAGCTCCACGGGTGCCCTCAAAAACTGACCCACAACACTCCCCAGCCCCCTCGCTGGGTGCCAAACCCACACCCTTGCCCTGACTTTCTGCTGTAGCCCTGCTCTTCCAGTTCTGCCACAACCCTCTGCCAAAGCATCTTGCTCCTGACCTGGGCATGGGGACACTGGGCACTGGCACTATCCCAGCCATCCCTCCCACCAGCTCCCTAAATCCAGCCCCATGCAAAGCTCCACCATCACAGCCCCTCTTCTTGCTGCAAAGATGTTTCCGCTGAGCATGGACCCCCAGCGTGGTGGGAGATGCTTGTCTGGGAGCTCCCCGATCCCAGATGCAGCTCGATCCCAATCAGACAGGTTATGCCACCTTCACATGGTACTACCAGGGAGGGTAGGCAGCATAACCTATATTTTAGCATGCCTAAGCAGATTTGCAATCCAGGCTGTGGTACTGCATGAGTCTGGGTAGCAGCAGATCCTTGCCTCTCATTTTGCTTTGCCCCCCCAATTCTTAACAGAAGAGGTTGGTGACAAGCAGGAGGAGAAAAGGAGGTGGAAAAGCCCTTAGTTTGCGTCACACAGGTCAGCTGCAGAGCTAGAAAGCTAAAAACGCAACCGTGCACCCTGTCTTAACCCTCCCACCTCACTCCTCCTCAGGGATGGGCCGAGATCTACAACACTTCTGTGCCTCAGTTTCCTCTTTCGTAAGGGGAAGACTATTAAGCCCCTTCCTCACTGGGAAAGGGCAGCATGGTCACACATAGCATGGGAGATGCACTACGGACACCAGCCCCAGAGAAACATTAAAGCACCTCCAGATCCCAGAGACACCCCTCTCAGAGCAACCCACAGTGAAGCATGGGGCTGGGGCAGGTCAACATGCCCAAAAGCTGCATCCCACAGTCTCCTTCCACTGCACCCCTAGACCCTGAAAATGCACCCAAAAGGTGCATTCAGACCCCCCCCTCCCCCCCAGAGCAGGGAATCCTTGGCATCCTACTTGCTTTGCTGCTCTGAACTCCATCCACCCTAGCACTGGAGAAGGGATTCAGGAGTCCTGGCATACTCCACACCCCATCCCGTAGTGGGAATCGGGGAGTCCCCACAGCACCCCATGGAGGGGCCCAGCCCACACCAGCGTGATCAACAACCAAGAGAAGAAACCCAGCCTGGGTGTGAGTCCTCCGTGGGGATGAATCAGAGAATCGTGCGGCAGCAGCTTTGCGTCAGCACAAAAAGCATCCAGGGCCTGGCTCGAAAACACAGGCAGGATGGCCCCGCACAGGGCTGGGGTCAGTGGGAAGGGGAGCACAAGCAATTAACACCCTTCCCCAATGCACAGGCAGGGGCAGACTCTAAACCATGGGGTAAATGCGGGCTGGATCCCAGTGAGCATGCCGGCGAAGCCAGCAGCATCCCTACACAGTGCAGAGGTCTAGTGCTCAGCATGAGCCCTGGCACACCTTCCCCACCCGGCTTCTCACTGGTCCATGTTGCATTTAATCCAGCCCAAACCCTGGCATCCAGCAAGTGCTGTGACTTTGCCTTCGCTGGGAAAGGCATGGAGCAGAGCCCAGGTCATGGCTGGGAAACCCTGAGGTCCTCCTGCCTGTTCTCACCTGCCCAGGAACAGGAACAGCAGCGCTTAAAAACCAAATAGAGAAATTTTTTTCTTTTTAAACATTCAAGCTTCTTCAGCCCTATTTTTAATGAGATTGAAAGGCTGGTGGTCAGTAGGAACAACACTCCCTTAGCAGAAATAGCTATTTCACAGAAAAAATACCTTTATTTCAAAAGACGCAGCAAAGGCTGATATAATCCTTGCACATTCAAACCAGATTTACCTGTAGTGCACAATAATGCAGTCACAGCTACGCCACACTCATTTTCCCAGCTTCTCCCCCAAAACAGGAGTTTCCATTTCAGGAGCAATATCTCAGCACACCTCCATCCCATACACCCATACTACCCTTCCTTACAGCCATACAGATCCAGCACCATTTTGGTTATAAAAAGTGAACTATATCGGTGCTTTGTATTACCAGCTATTTTTTTCTTCCTATTTTAGAGGTATATCACCAGGTGAAACTATTACACCAAAGCACCTCAGCATACCGTTCTTGTGCATATTTGCTGTAATTAAGAAGGGGGGAGCGGATACAGTTTTTTCCTAAGCATGCCTACTAGCAATTTCTTTGCACTAAGAGGATTTCACAGACTATTTCTCATTCTTGAGTATCTTTTCCATCAGCACAGCTTTAAAAATTTCTTTTTCTTTTCTGACAGGGAGGAAAAACCCAACTATTTTCACATGTTGTAACAATCTAGAAACCTTACATCTTCTTACACATTAAAGGGCTTTCAGTCTATTTAAGGAAGGTCTCTAGCAGCTCTGTTTGTGTATCATTTAAAGTCCCTGAAACAGAAGCTTGCTGGGCCATTGTAGAGGCAGGGGAAGGAACCAGGTGCTTGAGGAGAAGCAAGACCCAGCGGCAATACCTCAATTAAACAAAGATTTTTTTTTTCAACAGGTTGCACATGCCGCTTCTCAAGAAGACCTCAAGACCTTGAGAAGCAAGACCTCAATTAAACAAAGATTTTTTTTTCAACAGGTTGCACATGCCGCTTCACTTCAGTCCCTTGCAAAGGGTCAGCCCCAGCTCTCTCCATCGCTCTGCCCCTGAGCAAGAAGGGATAATACTCCACAATTTGGGAGCACATCCCTTCTACCCTGCTACCAGCTCGGATTATTTTGCCACCTTAAGTGCTTTGCTTAAAGCCACAGTTTCTGACTTCACATGAAAAGCATGAGGCTGGTTTCACCTGGAGAACAAAGCAGAGCAGCACCCAGTCCTGCTTGTTGGAAACAGGGTGAGAGATAGAAGAGAAACCCCGGCAGACACCAGGGAAGATGGAAGAGCACTGCAGAGGGGTATTGCAGCACATCGACTGCCCCCAGAAAGTCCAAGCAACACAGGGCAGCCAAACCCCACCTCCAGGAGGATTTCCACCACTTTGCTAGAGAGTCCCAAGCATCCAGGGACCAACTCCAGAGCAACGTGACCCACAAAGAAGCCAACCTAGAGATATCCTCCCTCTGCATGTAGCTCCACACTACACCAGGAGACGTGCAAGGCTCACAAATAAAGAAGTTTCCAGTGCATCATCCAGGGCTGATGGACAGAAGTGCTGCCGACAGAGGAGAAACCTCTGTGCAGAGACATGGCAGAGGCTGGCATGGGTGTTGGCATTAGTCATGGTACAGACTGTGCCAGCACCCACCTCCTTTTGAGCACAAGCACCGAGTCCTCCCCCTCCTACTCAGCCTCTGCCCAGCCTATAGTTGCTGTGGTACCAATTCTTTACAAGCCAAGAAACAGCTCACACAGCCATGGAGGGCCAACAGTGTCATGGTTTAACCTCAGCTGGCAACTGAGCACCACACAGCTGCTTGCTCGCTCTCCCCCCACCTGGTGGGATGGGGGAGAGAATCAGAAGAGTAAAAGTGAGAAAACTCATGGGTTGAGATAA